GTAAAGCAGAAACCATAAAGAAAAAGGTGTCAGTTAATACTGTATATAAATGTTGACCTCCTCCATTTCATAGCAATTAAAAAGCAAGTTACAAATGTAGGAAATGTATTACAGAGTTTTCATATCCTTTTATGTCAAGACCTCTATAAGAGGTCTATAAGAAAAAATGGTCACCCAGTGGAAAAATGGACTAAGAAAAGTTAATTCATGAAAAAACAAAACAAAACAAAAACGGGAAAAAAAAAACCATGGATGTTCATGTTTATCCCTAAAAGTGATATTAATGAGGATAACTTCATTATCCTGGAGACAGTGTAATGTGACAACATCTCTTTCTATATAGACCAAGGGCAGGGAACCTTTTCATGTTGGAAGGCCACATTAATTTAGCTGTAATCAAATAAGGCCACATTCAAGAAACTTCAATTAGATACACTTAAAAATGCACATTATTTTGTAAAAATCTAACTACTATGTAGTTCATAATTTCAAAAAATGAAAATTATTTGTCAATTTTAAAGTTAACTAACCTCTTAATGATTTTGTTGTGTCTGCTTTTTGTTGGAAGCATTTAAATGTTTGGTTGCAGCATGGAGGTCTGCAATTTCAGTTGATCCTCTAGATGGGTATCAGTCATTTGTGACCTTAAGGGCGTCTTGATTTGGGTTAGGTAGGAGAATGTAGAGTTGCAGCAGTAAGTGCTTGAAAAGCAAGAAAGCATTTTTCGGGCATGTCGTCAATGGCGTGGGTATTCTACTGCATTTTCCATATTTCAACTGGATCTTTCTTAGCATCAAACAATGACTTTAAAATGTCATCTACTGAGAACTCAATTCCATCTGTAGTTCTTAAGGTGACTTGGTGATATCAACTAGGTGAGGCTGAAATGCTAATTTGAGTGTGATGTCATGGATTCTGAAAGTCAGTGAATCTTTCATTGTATTCTCCAATTAATAGGTCTATAACAGCTGTATATTCTTCAAATGATTTCTATGTATCATCCTCATCAGTGACCTTTGCTAACTGGGGAACATGTTCATCTGAAATTTCCTTTTGAAGAAGAAGTGTTTGAAAACAGCGTTTTTTGAAATGCTTGTATTTTTTGCCATATATCATATATAACCTTAGTTTTACCTTGCAAAGAAATATTCAAGTTGTTTTGGTTTGACATGATATCACACAGAAATGCTGCATTCCTATAGAAATCTTCTTTCAATAATTCACATTGCTGATTCTGTTCTTCATAAAATTTAACTGTCTGTTCTCAGAGATAAAATTTTATCTAACATCTATCTCTGTGATAGCCAACACACTTTAGATTGATAATGCAAATCCACACTGAATACCTCATCTCTCAACTTTAGCATGTTGCGAAACTGATGATGCCATGTTGCATTTGCAAGAATATAGTTAACACTACTTATAACTTATTGCAAAGTGTCACTTAAAGTATTAATAGTAGCTTTAGCACAGAGACTTGCTGATGCAAGATACAATGAAAAGAAATGAGAGCATCTGGATCTGTCAGTATTCTTTTTAATCTGGGCAATAAACCCTTCATGTTTTCCTGTCATAGAAGGTGCACCATCTGTACATATGCTCACTAAATTTACCAAATTCAGTCCAACTTCACAACATTTATCTTGAAAGTTGTTGAAGATACCTATTCCCTGTGTTCTGTTTGTAAGAGTGCCCAAAGCAATTAACTTTTCGTGGCAAAGAAAATCTTCTGTTATGACCCAAATGAAATATAAAACCTGTACCGAGTCAGTAGTATCAGTTGATTCATCCAAAGTGATTGAATAATATATATTTTCCTTTTGCATGAACAACTTATTGCATGAAGTCATTCTGTTAAGTTGAAGCTAATTCATGCTGCCGATCAGTTATGGTTCTTCTTGAAAGAGGCATTCATTTGTACTTGGAAACATTATCAGGGTCTAAGCATCCTACAGCTTCAACAATGTATTCTTTCACAATTTCTACATCACTGAATGGCTTCCCTTTTTTCCCTGAGTATATAAGCTACTGATACTTTATAAGTTACTTCAATGGCATTATTTCCAGGTCTTCTGGCTGCTTGAAAGAATTGTCATCGCTTTCGCTGTTCATCTTTTAATTTCTTCAGTACAACCTTTCATGCCGCTCCTTCTAAGTTAAAATATCTGTGGTCCTTACGAGTGTTATAATGCTGATGAACATCAGATTTCTTTAATGTTGATATTGCAGTATCACAAAGCAAGCAAATCACCTTATCTTTAGCAGAAACAAGATATTAATAATATTGTAATTCCCAATCCTCATTAAAAAAAATATATTTTCTTCCTTCAGTGTTCTCTTGGTTTTCTTTGACGTGATGGGCTGTTAAGCAGACAGAATTAAAATATACTGTCAAGCTGTGCAGCTATTTACAAATTCCACTTCAAACAGAAACACAGTGCACTGTTATCAAAAGCTGGTAACAGACTGATGTACTTGACACCCATAAACTCAGGCCAGCCTGCCTCATGCGGTAGTGGTGCCAGTCAGGTGGGGGAAATTAGAACTAAGTCATGAATGTAGCAGCCATCACCTTAGCCCTTATGGCTTACTAATGTTCTAATTGTGCCAGTCAATCTGGGAGGATTATTTCATTGAAATTTATTTTATTCTTTGGTATTTTAAATATGTTCATTTTAAAAATAAAATAAAAATATAAAAGATGAACAAAAATGTATTAATAAAAAGAAAAAGATTTGTTATGTGAGATTTG